TATGGAGTATCTCAAAATCCATATACAAATAATTATATTTTAGTTCAAAAGTATCTTACTTGGACTAGTGGAAATGTAAAAATTGATAATTTCATTCATGCAAGACGGGATAAAATTAGTAGTTTTCCTGATGCAATATTTGAATGGATACCATATAATCAGTTTAATGAAATTAAGGAAATAGGTAAAGGTGGTTTTTCTACAGTATATTCAGCAATATGGAAGGATTTCAAAGTTGCTTTAAAATGTTTGGACAATTCACAACATCCTGCTAATGAATTACTAAATGAGGTATGAAATACTATTTCATAAATTTCAGTTATTTTCAATATACTTGCGCTTTATTTATATGATAAATATTTAATAGGTTGAGGCATATTCAACTAAAATGGCTCTTAGTAATAGTAAAATTATGAATATATATGGAATATCTCAAGATCCAAATACAAAAAATTATATTATTGTTCTTCACTATGCAGAAGGTGGAAGTTTTAATAATTGGTTAAATATAAATGAGAATTATAAATATTTTAATTGGAAAGATAAGATGCAAATATTACGTTATATTGCCAGTGGACTTAGAGAACTTCACCGTAAACAAATAGTACATCAAGATTTTCATACAGGAAATATATTATTTGGCAATCTTTCTTCAAAACAAAATAGTAGAATATATATTTCAGATATGGGATTATGTAGGAAAGTTGATGATATCAATCAAAATAATATTTATGGAGTTATGCCTTATGTGGCCTCTGAAGTATTAAGAGGAAAACCTTACACTAAAGCAGCAGATATCTATAGCTTTGGTATGATTATGTATTTTGTAGCAGCTGAAAGACAACCTTTTGGCAATCGTGCACATGATCATCATTTAGCATTAGATATTTGTAATGGAATTAGTCCTGAAATGAATGAGCTGGAAATGCCAATAACTTATATTAAATTAATGAACAAGTGTTGGGATTTGAATCCTGAAAATAGGCCTAATATCAATGAATTAGATCACTCACTTTCATTGATTGCAAATAACAAATTAGAAATTGAAAAAGCAGAGGAATATAGAAAGTTACATCTCTCTTCATTAAAAGGGGATAGACAAATAACTACTCATCCTCAAGCTATTTATACATCTCGATCACTTAATCCTTTCACAGAAAATCTCCCAAAATATAATGATGATAATTCTGAATGCTTAGATTGTGCAATTACTAATAACCTAAATTAGATGCAAAATAAGCATAGCACATGATTAATTTTACAAATTTATTTATTTGATATTTTAAATATAGTTAGTTATTCACAGAACATTTGTAATGAAAATAATAATTTTTTGTCCAACACTGCATAGATAGGATAAATATAAATTCTTGTTTTAAATAAATAAAATCAGTTTGTAATTGGGCAAATCAAAAAATATTGCATTTCCTGGTATAGTAAACTAACCTATTTTTACCAAACTCTGTCCCCTAAATCTTGTAGTTCAAACAGGATTATATTTACCTTCGAATTATGATCAGTTAGCCGCGCCTTATTAATTTGTATTAATAAATTATTACTACATATATCAAGATTATGGTTTCAATTTTTTTAAACTTTGGATACTATTATAAATCAAATTGAATATGCACATTTACTCATTAACTATTATTCTACGATCTTAAAACGAGAAATAATAAAAATTTTAAATCAAAAAACTTAGAATTATGAAATGGAGAAAAGTCAGAAAACTTTTATGTCCTATTGTTAATTTTGTGTTGGAAATTATTTACATCAAAATTTGGGATACCAATCACAATCATGATGATTTGAGGTGAAAATAGCGAGTGGCGAGAAATCCTATTTGATATAAAGAACGGCAAAAATTTGTTTTTATTGCGTTAGATTTTGTGATTTTGTTCAAAATTGATACTATTGATTTCTCAATGTACAAATCATTAATACTGTATATGATAACTTTAGTTCTGAGATCAATTTTATTATATTATTATACTTATTTTGATTCCATCTAACAAATAAATTGTATCACTTAATGTTAGAAGAAGTTCGACACCAAAGATGATATTCATATAACATATAATTATTTCATTAGCCATTCATCGGAAGCACTTTGTGGAACGCGTATCTTATGTAGTTTTTGTAATTACTTTCTTGAAAATTTTTGGATATAACCTGAATTTTTACAGACACCATCTGAACAACTCCTATAAATGTTTGTTATCTTCAATTTCAGGTACAAATATAGCCAGACGTTTCTTATACTACTGGCAAATAATTAATGGTTGTAACCATTGCTCACCTTATTTCAATTTGAATGTGTAGACATACTGTACCTAATTCATGTATTAATATCAAGTTGGCATGAAAATGGACAAAAATCATTATTAGATGAAAAAACATTTATTAGATTTTTATTATCCTATAACATTATGACTTATTTTGTAGTAAATCTTGGAAATTGTCAGACTTGCACTAGTAAATAATCAACACTTTGACAATAATGTTCGGATAACATTTGATTTAAATTAGAAATTTGTATTGTTATATGAAAGTCGTTTTCCATTCGTATCCATTCAAAAATGCGGCAATTTTTTGACCTACTTTAATGAGAAATCTGGAATGAGTATGTGAGTCAGAAATACTGTACTTGAAAGTTCTTACCAGTAACATGAAAAAGGCCATAGTGAAGGTATGCACAGTTTCTATTAAATTAACTTTTATCGGAGACATGAATGATGTTTCAGATTTTAGCGGTTTATTATCAACTATACTGTAAGTTTACTGTTTAAAAAATAAAAATACATTTATACTTGGCATTTAAGGTTTATCGCATGATTTTTGTGCTATTATGATGCAGTATGCAGTTTTTAATTCGCAACATTTTATTTTAATATTTTTATATTTATTTTCCCGAATTTATATAGTAATTTTTCTGCGATCGTGAACAGCACTGCTTCGTTTGGGCGATAATAAGTATTTATTCAAACAAGATATATATTAATTGGAAATTAATTCGTTACAATCTAAGATTTCAGTTATAATTGTGGGTAATTTTTTCATGGCGATACGAGAGAGCCTTGATCAATAGAAGCCAATTAAAATACGAAATTACATTAACTTGCGGAGGAGTATTTTTTTCTCAATTTTTCTCATTTCTTTCAATCTATAATATCAATTTTATTCAAGTTTTTTTCGAACAAAATTAAGGTTATAAAGTGTATAAATATTTTAGAGACAAAAAAACTTTCCATGTTCGCGCCAATTTCCAATTTTTCTCGAGTGTTTGAGTAAATAGAAAGTAACAAAAAAATTGAACCAGTGGAACCTATTGTAACATAAACAACTTCAATAATTTATTAATATTGCAATAATTCGGTTAAAAAAATTTATTTTCATTACAATTAATGTTTGTGCACGTCTATTCTTATAAATGAAGATCG